TCCCACTAGAAACCCAAGGGAACAATAATAATAACACATAATAACATGTATCTGAGTGCAGTAAGAAGAGTACGCCTTCGGTTTCCTGAGTATGTATCAAAAACGTTGCTTCTCTAAGGAACAAGCGCTTTTAACAGTACTACTGCTAGACACACTGCCGATACGGGTCATGAGGCAGACATCACCATGAGAGATTTTAAAATTACCAGTATACAAAATAGTTCAATCCTCTCCAAGAGTACCGAAGCAATTGCCATCAGATTTCAGATACCCTTGCTAACTGGATGCTTTTACTCTCTTTTACATGACTGAGTACTATTTGGCTTTCACCTCTTCCTCTTCGCTATAGTATAATTCTACTATTCTCTTGTTTCTATGATTTGAGTTGAACTCACCGCATTATTACTCAATTTATTAGTTACTCATCGTCTTATCGACGTCTTGTGTTTATTGTACAACTTGTTCGCTATAGTATCTAAACATTTATTTTTTTTTTGTCTAAACTTGAACCTTCTGTGTATAAGCTTTGTAAGTGTAATTTCTTAGTCTGAAGTCTCCTGTCAACTGACACTATGTGAGAGGCGAACAAAATGAAAGACGGCACCATCTAATTCTGCACAAACTGTTCTTCTCTGCTTCACTCGAATTCGTAAAGCAGAATAAAGTTTCCCAGATTTTAGAACGATTTAATTTCTTTGCAACCAATATACAAGAAAGATCTGCCTGAAAAGTGAAACATTCCTATACTGGCCTGATTTTCACAGATTTATGGATGCAGAGATTTTGCGAAGTGAATTACTGTTACCTTAAATTATGTGTTTGTTCTTGATTTGATAAAGCATACAAAAGACTTTCTAGAGAAAATTTTAGTCTATTACTAAAATAATCAAATTATGGAGAATTATTATTACACTCCAGTTAACTTTACGGTTGGATAATGGTAACTGTCATATAGCTAGCTAGCTATATTCCTCATATTCTTTCTTCATTCTGAACATAATTCAATTTTAACAGTAGTTATCTCGCAGTTTCTCACTTCCTAACTTTTAGTCGCTTCACTTATCTCATAAAATATCGAAAGTTAAACTGACTGACAAATTTCGATTATCATCTAGGACACACACATTGTCTACACTGGCAGTTAATTTCAAGTTTGAACATAGATTGTTATCTATTAGAGAACGACTGAAAAACAGGGTGTACTAGACAGCAGTTTCGTTTTAGTTTGGGACTCCTCATAAATACTCACCCATCACTCCACTACCTGCGACATGAAGTTGCATGGAGTTCTAGTGAGAAGTCGTGACCAGTAGGGTCCACCCGGTCTGTAGTGAGGACAAATACTAGCCGATGGCATTGGCTTGTGCTAGTCGTGTTAAACTCATGAATTGGCAGAAGTTAGAATTAGCAAGGTAGCCAATCAGTTGCAACCGCAATGGTTGAATAGCCTATCACCTTGCCTTGGAATTTCCCCGGCTCTAATTCTGGTGGTGGGTGCGTACTTATGAAGAGTCCCAAACTAGGACGAAACAGTTGTCTAATTCACCCTGCTTTCCAGTGGTTCCCAAACTGATATCAATCTGCGGTGATACCTGAAGCAAATAAAATCCATACAAACAAACTCTTGAATATTTACTTCTAAACACACTAAAGCCCCACAACAGATCCCTTCACTAATAGCATATCTTACCGATTAGTCCTTAACCTATTGCTCGACAAATATGTAGAAAAAAGTGGAAATGGATCGGACACATGCTGGTGACATCACTCTCTAGGCCTTCAGATGGTACGATAGAAGCGACGATTTGAGAGTGAGTCTAAGGATTACATGGAAGAGAGCATGTTAGGGGGAAATAAATCCCCATGGGCAACCGCGGAGACACTTCAAAGTGATGGTAGGTAACGGAGTAAAACTGAGATGCGATTGCCGAAGCCCTTTGTCCCATTCGGGAAGCAACAAAAGAATTATAATACGATTACAGTTGCATTCTCCAACACTTATACTTTCATAATAATCAATTATCACACATAGTCCTATCATTTTAGAAGACATCAAGGTGTTGTCCAATTATGGAGTAGATGAGTAGCTAAGTTGAATGTATTTCGTGTTGTTTTGTTCATTTATCTAGCTGAATTGTCCTTCTAAACAATAAAATTACACAATTAAAACATTTCAGCTTAACGAATACAATAAAACCTGTAGACAATGCTAGTACAATTTCGTCTAGTTTCCTATTGAAGTAAAAAATAATATTCTATTCTATCAGAACGCTTTAATCATCTTTTGGGTTAACCAAATGTTCTTATATCTACTTTGTATACTTCTTCTAATAATACAGTTTCTGATTAGGTTAGCACGAAAACCGCAGGTATTTGTTCGTAAATCATGTTATTATTCCCTGTGGTTGCTCTTTCGATCCTCTAATAATTGGTTGCCTTTTTGAAAATTTACAGGTGAAAATACTCACCCTGGTTCTAATAAGCATCAAAAGGGAAATCAAAGAACCCTGCAGTGAAGAAACATTATCAACGTATTCACCACGTTGATCTTTAGACGATACTATTGAAATTTGTGACAATGGACTAAATCTTATTTTCAAGAAACTAAACATTCTAAGGAAGTTTGTTTCCTAGTGATTTTAATATATTGTTACCTTTAATTACTTTGTGCACCAGTGATTCAGCAGTGGAATGCTCGTCAACCGTGCAATGAGACCCGGGACTAGATCCCTGGCCAGTGCAGTCCTAAATCTCGCTTAGCCAGAAGTAAGCCTGGTAAAAACTGAAAGTTGGGAGGCAAGCTGGCAACCCCACTCTGAGTCTAATGGTCTTAAACTGAATCCTTCTAAATGTCCAACTGTTAATTTCAGCTTAAGATGTAAACGACAGTTAAAAGAAGCCGTCGATTCTCATGACAGTTGTAAGATTGATGACAATGATATAGGAATTAAATCAGAAATTAAGTATCTTGAACTTATTCTCTCTTCTGATCTCTCCTGGTCTTCCCATGTCTCAGCGATCTCCAGTAAAATATTCCGCCAGACATATAACTCAACCCCCCTCCTCCTACAGTTCATCAACTCTTGCATTCTACCTATTCTTCTTTATTGTTCACCCTTATTCTTTCCTGGTTTGCTTAAAAACGACTATGTCACAATTCGTAGAATGCTGAAGACTGTCAGTAGGATGAGTGGTGTCCCAGTGGATTACATAGTTAACGTCGTTGTCGATAGACACGACTTCGTGCAGTAAATTTGCTAGAGGTATTTTGTCTGACTTGGAGCATCCACTTTACACTCAGCTTTCACCTTGCATCTCCTCAGGTAGAACAAGAAGTAACTTCAGGAAACTGTATGCTCACACGTCTAAGTATAAAAATTCTATGATACCATACTTGGCGCGTATATTATGTGATGAAAATAGCGTCAGGCAAGAATTGACTAACCTTTTTTCATCTAGTAAATAAACAATTTCCTCCATCCATCTTTATATACCTTCAAGTTTTACTTTTATTATTTCTATTATATTTATGGTCCTGTTAATTCTTTGTTTTCACTTTCATAACTGCAAACACAAACTTATCTCTATGACTGCTGTATTCTTTGTTTTTTCCCTCACCATATCATGTAAAGAGAACATTATATTCAATATTTTTAAACATGCAAGGATTTGTATACCGAATCGACAATACTGTGTAAAACAAGCCGACGGCAATTTCCACTTGTATTATTATCATTACCTTAGCTGCTATCATTATTATTATTTCCATTTTATATGCTGCATGTTTTTTATTTTTTATTTTTTTTATATTAACCCTATTGTAAATGTAGAAAATTTTTCTGTGTGATTAATTTTATTTATAATTTGAGGAAATTAGATGCAATATTGTGATTTATGATGAAAATTTCATTCTGTATCACAAGTACTGTTTTTGGAATAAAGTAAATCATTATTATTATTATTAAAAAAGAGCATCACTAGTACTGAAATTTTCATCGCCGAAGCTTGATGCTCTGTGTTCCACTCAGAATTCAAAGGAATATAAAAATAAGTAATAAATTGTACAGATTTCCCTTTAAACACACCGAACTGGCATGCTATTTTTCATGTTTAAAAGACCAACTCGTAAACGAATATTAAGGTTAAGTGAAATGAGACATATGACTTCACAGGCTTTTATACATAGATCTTAATTTCATAAATTACTGTAGGTGTAAAATTTGGGCATAGTGGTAGTAGGTATTACCGTATTAGTTCTTTAAAGTCTGTTGAATGACAGACATAAATCAACTTTGTTTGTTCCTTGTCCAGTTACTTAGAATCCTATTAAAAAGCTAGCTGGTGAGCACATCTAGTTTCATATCAAATTCTTACCAGCCACTCATACGGGATTGCAGTTCGGTTGCCAGCTGAAATACTCCTAAACCAAGTATAGTCTGTAACAACTCGGAAAAACAGGTTTAGCAAGGTTGATGTGATGCTAGCAAATCCATCCCGTAAGGAAATACAGTACAAGAGCTATTGAAACTTCAAATATTTAAGCTTAAGACCTTATATTCGACACGGAACGTACAGAAACGCAGAAAGATTAATTGTCAATCATCGTGAAAAGTCATTTTGATACCGTTTTAACAATTACCTATTCCCACCATGTCATGGGACAATCTAAAGTGGACCCCAGAGAATACGACAAAGTGGAGATGTGCTGCTGAAGTCCTGTGTTCCACTTGGAATCCAAAGTAACCATAATAACAGTAACAATGAAAAGTGTCTATAGTTTGACCACTACACACCATACTAGTCATATCATATTTGTATGTATACTATTATTATTATTATTCACAAAATTTTGATATTTTCATACTAAGAAATAAAAACAGAAAGAGAAATCCAAATAAGAAGTAAAAATTTTACAGTTCTATTCTAGAAAACGTAAAGGTATAAAGAGGGAATTAACTGAAGGAAAACAAGAGTCGGGATGGGGGTCGAAGGGAGTGTGAACGAAACGGAGAAAAAAGATAAGGAGACACGGGATTGAGAATTGCTCTATACATCACATATATATAAAAATATATATATATTCCATAATGTGTATATGGTTCACTTGTTTATGTACTCATCATACGTAAAAAACGCAAGAAAGAAAGAAAGATTTAGTGATGTGGAATACGCTAAGAAGGGAAGTCAGTGAGTTGATTAGAAAGTAACTAGAGTGTATCACAATTTGTCCTTGCGTTTTCTCAATGACTAATGTTTCTTGATTCTTTTCAAATACACACTTGTAAACTTTGAACAAATATATTTCAGTTATTCAAAAATCATATATAATACATAAAAATTATATTTACTCGTAGTGTTTTCTTTTTTTATTTGTAAGAAAGTATACACATAAGGTATAATTGTATAATTTAATAGAAAATAAATGAAACTAATTAATTACTTAAGTATAGTTGTATTATATAATTTCCATTATACTACACCGCCATCTGCATCATCCTCACCATCATCATCATCAGCATCGTTGACTTTACCACTTGAACTTGTTGATGAGCTATCTGGTCGATGAGCTGTCGACGTGTCTGGTTTGTATTCACAATAATATGATGATGCATGAGGAAGATTTACCACTCTCTGTTGGAAGTGATGTGAATCCGTGGACTGGGGGGATAGACTGGTTGATGCTACATCATATGGATGTGTAACGCCTAGTTTAACGATAACATTTTTATCCTTAATAGATGAATAACTAGAAGTTACAGCAGTGTTAGTGGGTGTTGTAGTATAACAAGGAAAAGTTATAGGATTATTATTATTACTATTACTATTACCACTGCCTGTTGCAGTTCTGTGAATTTGCTTTTTTGGTCCCGTTATTTGTGTTGTAATAATATGAGGTATACGGTGTCTTTTAAATTGTGGAGTGAAAAAGTGTAAAGGTGATGGCCTTGGTCTATAATCTTCTGACTGAGGGGTGACAGCAAGTTTTGAAGGTTGTAAGTTAGCCAACTTTGAGTTCATCTTGTCTGTTTCAATGTAAGAACCACGAATAGGAGTACTATATGACTGGCCTACATAAGATGGTTCCCAATCATAATACGTTGGCGGTGGTATCGGTTGAAAGTGCATATTTGCTGGAATTCCTCTAGAAGTCATTTCTATATGTTTATTTTTATCAAAAATTTGGTGTCTAACATGACTACTTGTATCTGGTCCTGAGGGTGGGGGTATGGGATAAAATATTGAACTAGAAGGACCGGCAGGAAAGTTTAATTTGTCTTTATTCAACGAAAGAAGATCATACTCATGTGATTCATGTGTCAGCGGTTGTTGATGTGACGGATGTATAGTGGTATACTCAACACTAGGAATACGAGCTAGATGAGGTATGTTTCTGAGTCCCCAAAGTGGTTCTCCCATAACATTTCTTTGTCTTGTGAAAAGAGGTATTGAATTTTCGTGCTGTGATGGTAGAGCACGCTTGTTTCCTGCCCTGTGGATGCACTTTTGAGGAGAATTTAAATTGTTGCTTCGATTAGCATCCCATAGTTCATAGTATGGTATTTCTCTTTCATCCTCTGTGAATTCTACATCATACTTTGGAAGATTTTCCTCACTCAGAAAATGACCGTGAATATCACTTTCTTCAACTGGAACTAAAGATCTTTGAAGATATTCATTATCTTGTATAGGTTTATAGGGGATATATTTCTCCTCGTCGGCAACATTACGTTTACCAATATTTGTGCACGGTAGTATTCGACGTCTTGATTGGTCTAAATCCAGATTGTGCTGATCTGAAAATTTTGCAAAAATAATTGAGTTTAATTGATTAACAGCTTGCTATGAAAATAATCTCAGTGAAAGATATGAACATAAACAGCAATAAGGCAAATATTTCTCACTACATCACTGTCTATGGATGCAATCACTAGATGGGGAAATTGTGTCGGTTGGAACACCTAAGAGAGCTAAGGCTCACTGCGTCACTTTTGCATTTAGGAGAATAGGCGAAAAATCCCACTTGCCGCGACTTCATCAGAAGATGCCTACCATCAAGCCAAACGGTCGACTCAAAGTAATCCAATGAAAATAAGCGAAAAACCATTCAGTCATATATAAATAACTTCTTTGAAACCGCTACAAGACTGCTGAAACGTTTTGGAATAGATGTCACCCACAAAACAACAATATTACTTCAGTCTATACTGAGTCAACCAAAAGACCATAACGACAAAAGGAGACAAAACCAACAACAGTGAAAAACATTATATCAATCAAAGTAACTGTCCCCTTAATCTCTGCCTCCACGAATGTTAAGTTCCTATCAAAAGACATGATATCCATTCCCTCATACCAACGCATGTACACACCTACAGACACCGATTCACCTGGGAAAATGTATAAATCTTGTACGGAATAAACAGGAAGAACGCCTGGGAATTCCTAGGAGCATTGCACTCAGATGAATTTGTGATTAAAAGACAAACTGACATAGAGCACCTTAATCACTCAGTAAAAAGGAAGTCATATGCACCAAAGGTCAACTATCAGATTAACAAGATACAAATTGACATGAGGGTATGAAAACCTCCGGAAACAACTAGTCACTTTCAGGTCCACTAGGACAAATGGCTGATAAATTGACTAAGAGAAAATTGTGAAAGCTCAATCCATTCTGTAGCCTCTGCTATAGAGATTGGTAGATAGATAATGAAAGCTAAGCAGTTAAAACATCTAACTAAAAGAAATTAACAACATCAATTTAATCCGCCTGAACTACAAATATTTGTCATCATTCCTAGCCGAAATCGAATATCTGCACAAAACGTTTCTACTACTGATTGGCTGAGACGAATAGTTGCATACCACTCACGTCAACCAGTAGTGCTGAATAACCAGAACGAAGTGATTTAAAAACACGACTGTCGTTTAGCTCATTTTGCGGCGGAACTAAATAGCAGTGTTCCTGGTTTGACTTGGGTGAATTAGTAACACTTTAAATCAAATTCCAAATTCTCACTTTATACAACCACTCATCTTAACAGATCAGTATTATACAGTTTCGTGGATTTATGTCTACTTTCTTGAATACCGTTTGTGCCAACCAGCAGAACACATATTATGATCCGGATAATTTTGGCTTCCGAAGGGAATCATGATAAAATTTCACCTCCTAGAACTGTCTAAATTGCAAATTGTGAATCTGACTCACGATTTTACTAGTTCGCCCAAGTAGTCAACCAGAAATTGGGTAGTGTGAACTGATTCGGCACTCCGAACACGCCTGGTTAATGTGAGTGGTGCAGAGATATTCATCTCTATTAATGCAGTAATATGTAATTTCTCAATATTATTTATTTGGCAGATATATCATACAGCAATACAGTACTATTCACTGGGTAATATCACAAACCTAGTGAATTATTCCAATTCATATCAACTGATTCATACAGAATGAGTTTTCTATGCGTATATTACGATAAAAATGCTTCGATTCATTTAAGCAGAGTATTTATTTAGCAGTGGCTAGTTACGAATTCCAGAATGCCTGTTTAATTCCTCTCGCGACCACCTGGTTAGATTTGCCTACGTTTCATTGGCTCAGTTTGTTTCTCTTGCGAATTGTAGTCAGTAACCATAGTTTTCGGAGTCAAACAAATGGTACTGAAGTGAAAAACAAAGCCATATCAAGGTACCCACACACCGCCTAATTTGCTGACAAAATAACGAGAAATTGAAAGAATAATTAATCAGGAATAATTTAGTCCAGCAGTAATAATAGCTGCTGAAACTAACCTTCAAAATATTCACCTGGTGAATCCGTCAACGGTAGGTGTTGACAGTACGCTGTCTCCGAGTATTCTTCACTACTACCAAAACTTCTGTCAGTTTCTTCGAAATTTGCAGCTGTCCTATCTGGGAAATCCCCTTTAGGACGTTTCGGTTGACTATCAAACCATCTTGTAGCGATCCCTTCGTAAGCTGGATTCTGTTCATTTTGAATAAAGTGAGCTGAATGTTTAACAGATTTATCAGTGTATTTTGTACGGTGTAACTCATCAGGAGGTGATTTCTCCGCATCGCTTAGAATACCAGATTTTTTGCGTGATTTAATAATCGGTAAATGTACAAACTGGTCGTTGGATTGTGAACCTCTTGGTGTATGATGGTGATTGTGAATACTTCGACCTAAAGACTGAAATAATAAAAAGAATGTGTGATATCATATGGTGCACCTTATTGAACAGTGTCAAAAGTAGTTTGAAAATTTTCTAGCCAATAGTGAGCCGAGATTGATTACAGAGTAATCTACAAACTTTTGTATGCTAGCCAATCGTTCACACATGTGGTTACAGAAAAGAAGGTGGGAAAGAGAGTTGTTTGACTTTTGTCTAGTAGATCAAATTAAGAATCTCTACCTAAATAATTATATATAGTTTAGTTATTTAATTATGTTCTAATGTAAAGACAAAGAAAATGAGATGTATATTTTTCGTGACTTTGCACATGATTCTACACTTATACATAGTTGTTTTTTCTACAAATCTCTTTAACATGGTTTAGTTTTTTTTAAAATACAATAGATTAATACACAAGACAAACCATCTAGGTCTTCTGTGTCACTAAGGTTTGTAAGCAGTTAATTGTAATGAGTAGGAAGCCAGGAAACAAAAGCCGATATTACGTCATTTTTTGAATAGAATAAAAGGAGAATAAAACGTGTTCTAAAAGGAAAGTTGTTGGGAAAGGAAGATAGCATTTTCTCTGTACTCTGTGTCTCCTTCTTTCTCAGTAGTTATTATTGTCTACATAAGTTGTGAATGAGCACAAAAGTCAGTTATTTGCCTTTACTTCTCACTGTCTAATACTTTGACCAGGCTGCTTATACATCTGTATAAATTCTATCTTTGAATAAAGCATTAACTACTCACGGTAGTCGTGTACCATGAGCCTGTCATTTCCCCCTATTAACTGAAGAAAAGGATTCCGTTACTAGTTTAACCTCACGAGGGTTACATACTGGTCTACATAGAGCAATGAGGATCTACTCGTCATGCCGACAGTAGCCGATGAGCTTCTTTCCAAGGGGAACCAGAACAAATCTCTTCAAGTAAAATAATTAAAAGTTATTAGTGTTCTGAAGCTATAATATCTCGATTGCAGGTGTAAAATTAGGCATGGATGAGAGTAAAATCACTAGTTTTTCGTCGTTTCACATAAAGACTTTAAGATAATCTGCATGGGAAGAATTAGTTATGTTTGTATTGGGGACATATAGATCATCGGATTCCAAATCATCCTCCTGAATGATCATGGTCTATTCGTAGCTGTGTTTCACTTCACCATATAGATAGTGACCATAGAAGGGGTGTTAACCAGGCATTTAAAGTTACCTATTGTCTTTTGACAAATCGTAATTTTGTTCAGAAACGTAGACAACATTCGTTAACTCTGTTCTTTCAGTCTACGTGCTCTGATACGTACATGTATATTAGTAGACACGTACACCTGAAGGAACCCTATTTGTATGTTCAGAAGAGATTCATAGAGTTACTCTCCATACCTTGGCTATCAATACATCAGTGTAAACAAATGAAAATTTTCCTCTCTAGCTACACCACTTATAAATTATTATTGTTCTATTCAAGTATTGGTTTGTAGGGATTTTGTTTGATCGGATGGAGGATTTCATCATGAGCTGACATTGGTTAGGGAATCATTGAAAAACCACCGTGGAGTACTGGACAGCTGTTTCGCCTTAGTTTTGGACTCTTCAGCAGTACGCACCCACCGTCAGGGTTCGAACCCACGACCTTCTGGTTACAAGGAGAGCTCGTATACCGTTAAGCCACTGGGACCTGATCCAATGGCCCATGAATTCCAACTTATGCTAATTCACGACATAGCGTGACCCCTAACCAATGTCTTCGGCGAGTATTTGTCCTCACACCCGACCTGCTGCACCCTACTGGTCACGACTTCCCACTGGAACACCAGGTAAGTACTTACCTGAAGAGGGGCCAGTCCCCAGTGAGCATCTCATTCATATTCAAGTATTGTTTTAATTACCTTATTGTTCTACATACTTCATCTTTAGTAGTTTAATACGTGATCAGTTCGAGTACCTACTTCTTATTTTTTTCACAATTATACATCGTTGTAATGTATTCATCTAATGTTTCTACGTCTTTATTTGTTGCATTGATTTTCTTGGTTAGTTATCAACCCCTTGACATGTTGGTATTTTGCTAATTGTTTTCATTATACTTATCGCTAGTAGACAGGTACATTTCTAGATATGATAGAGAAGAATTGTAGCTTATGTGGATGATTTTGGTAAATTTCTGTACTGCATTAAAATCGTTATGCAAGTATATATCAGATTAGAGCCATACGTAAAAATTTAGTTAAAAAGTGAGTCTGTCTTCGCCAAATCCTTCTATCTTGTAAACGTCTAAACGGGGATATTTGTTAAACTTCAAATGATCTCTTATCTTCCTTGAAAGTTTGAATTACATTACGTCAAACGAAAAAAACACCATAATGATAGTATTAGTCGGAGCGGAAAATTCTGATCCACTCTGAAAGTTAGGTAGTTAAACAAAGTAGAGTTTAAAATAAAGTAAGAGTGACTAGTGTAGCAGGATAATATGAGCTCAAATTTTAATATTCTAAAGATTCTTCTATACTGGCTACAACTTGAACAACACGAGAATATAAATTACACTAAAGACTTGAAAACACATTTGGCGATATCAAAGCACACAAATTTTACTAAGTCATCGTCTGTCCTGTTTGAAAAACTTTATTTTTGATCGAAACATGACCCATCCTACCCACCTCCTTCATTGGCTATTTTAGAAAAACATATACTCCATGGTTACGTAACCTATTATGTTACACTCTTTTTAGCTACACTTTGTTTCCACCCACAAAAATCTGTTGAACCCTGTCATTTTGCTTCCAAGCATAGTTGTTTAATTTTCCCATAAATAGTTAATTCTTTTCACACTTAATTATTTAACAACATACATCATTCCTAACTAATTTTACTCTTAGTTTCCACCAATTCCTCCCGATCATCACAGAAAATGTATGTACAAATCTTTAATTTTATTTACATTCTTATATTGTTTAGGTTGTAGCCAGCTGAGAAGAATCCTCACGATAATAAAATATGGGCTCATATCATCCTGGTATATTTGTCCCTCATGCCTTATTCATATTTACTAATAGAAAAAAAAATGTATGAAATTTTTAAAGTACATTTTGTCGTCACAGCTTTTTTATCATCATAGGTGTCGATTGGCTGGAGAAGAAATGTAGAAGAAGTGGACAGTTTACCGCATGAAATAATAATAAAAACGTTCAATGTCTCACAACCATTTGGTGCCTTCCGAGGTTTGAGATTTAAAGGTAGACGATTTATCAGTTAGTTCGGTGAATCTCATTAGTGAAGCCTTCAGTTTCTCTTTTGTCCAGCTTAAGATTAGGTTATAGGCACTAACATTCACTTATCAAATATTGACCTACTCAGATATTAGAACAGAGGGAGATTTAGTTTTAACTCAGATACTCAAAAATTAACAGAAACTGACTGTTGACATCTAAGCTAAGGAATGAACAGAAGTAAAAGACCGGTCGGGAAAACTGGGAGTCATTCGGTAGAGGGTCATGAATTCACATTTCGAAGGCGTTCTGCATTTAAGCGAAGCAGCTATTCATTTCTTCATATTTTCATGCATATCCCTGTTAGTGTCCACGACTAATGAGGGGTCAAGTTAAATCATCTACCTTCTTGTAGAATTACAAGAAGAAATAATAAAAATAAGCCATAAAAGAATTGAGGTCAGCGACCATACCATGCTGAAAGCACCAGCTCTCAGTACGTCGGTGGCACAGCGGTTAGGACGCTCGCCGACTATGCACATGGTCCGAGGTTCGATCCCCCACCGACGCACTCCTTTCCCTTGCTGAGCCAGAAACAATGCTGGTAAAGTGTAAAGGTTTGGCATGAGGCTAGCAACCCCATCCTGTAAAAGTGAACACTGCTATAGAAACTTCAAGCCACTAGCTTGAAGCCCTATGTTCCACTGGGAGCCTGAAGGAAAAAATAAAAGAAACAAATTGGAGTATTACACAGTTAAGCAATAATTTTAGTCACTTACCAGAATTTTATTTTTCTTCACATGTTGACCACTAGATTCAGTTTTTTCTGAAGATTCATTTATATCAGGACTGTAAGAAAGATTTAAGAAAGACAGTTATTAGTCATAATGATTCTGTATTTCTTTCCATGAGGAACTGTCACACATCTGTCTCACACGCACACAAGAAAGCTTTAATCTAGCATTAGCAGTGTACTTGTGGTTTTCTGCTCAAAAGCATTCAGAGAGGCAGTACTGAATATCATTAGTTGATTGGTGATCATTTATTACTGAGGTTAGCAGACGATGTTTATGTAACACTAGAAAGTAGTGACACCCGCACACTTTTCATTGGTCCTGTATATATTACTTAAATTCCTAGTTTTAGTGGAATGAATCATGCGGAAGGCAGTGAGGAGCGGGAAGAAAGTAGTAAGTTGAGCAAACAGAAGACTCTGAAAGATTTAGACTTCATAGGCGACTTAATGTCACAAAAACTAGAAGATCTAGAGACGAAAACCAGCAAGTTGACAGAATAGGCAGGAAGCGAATACAGGACTTCAGGTGAACATAGAGATGGCATAGGTAATGAAGGTAATCTACCAACAACGCTGGTAGGATTGGAAACACAAGCCAGAGCTTCATTATTCTGAAATCAATGTGGAAATTTACTACACTTAGCACAAAGATGAATTTCCAGATGTCAGATGAGTCAGATTTTCTGCAGAGCTCAGAGAATTGGTACGTGCGTCAAGAGAATCATTTCAATCTGGCTGAAGACTTTTATCAACAGCTGCCTTCTCTGTCTCAATATTAAAGTTCAGATGGCCAGAAAGGATAAAATTCACGCACACACACACCTTGGTGAGACCTTTTAGTGACATTGCACACCAGGCAAATCAACGAGTGGAACGTGAAAGGGAAACGACGAGTTTACGATGGGTGAGACGGTGATATGGACGTGATAGTGTGAAGAGGAGATGAGTACTTGTGGACAATCATGGAGCCAGCCAGAATTTTAGTCGGATTACTGAATATACAGAAATGCACCTCTTTAATCTCGATAATAAAGTAAACCAGAATCAGCCTATGAATAAGGCTGAAAATAATCTGTACAGTGTTGTTGATCCATGCAAGAAAATGGAAACTTGTCAGCTGGAAGATATGACTGAGACAAGGATGGTTTTGAAAGTGTAGAAGCGACTATCGTCCCGCTACAAATGTCAGTTACGAACACAAACACACATGTATCATCTCACTAGTACAATCTATAAATAACTTTAAGTACAAAGCCTAAATACTTTCATAACAGGAAGTGGCTAAAAAAATTAATCACTATTTCAAGCCAGTGGTTAGAAAATTCATCATGTGAATCGAATGACTTTTGACCACTTTGTAAAACTTCATCATCCTTTTTTATAACCATTGTCTTTGGCCAAACAATCAGATTTGTTTGTCTATGGCTTGAATTCCCGAGGTTTAGCAAATTACATATACCAAACAATTTGCCCAATAAATGATCGTCGTAGTCAACCTGTTTTTTCTTATCCTCTGTTTTGTTGTTGTTGTCGGTGGCCGTGCATATCCTAACAGTCACAGGTCAGTATTTTTCTTTTGAGATTTATGTGGCTCATGAAGCGGAAGCACTGAGGGCGAATTACCGTATCGTCGTCGTCCATTGCGTTCAATGTTATCATACCCCAGTTAAAGGCAACTGGGTCAGATCAACAGTCAGCGACATCATATCATCAGTTGGCAATGGGTTCATATCACTTCAAGTAGTGCTTCCTAGTATTTAACTACACTAAGCCTATTGACTTTTAGTATATAAATTTATTTAAAGGTAAAACTAGTTCTTGAGAACCCTGGATGGAACAGAATGACTGCAAAGGTTGATTGTTTTCTTTCAAAGAGGAACCATCTATTACTTCATTGAGGCTTCATAAAATTAATCACACTAGTATACAGACAAGATTTAAGACCTCATGTTTAGTCAACTTCTAAGTGAAACATAAAATAACAAAAACGACCTCTTCAAAATTGAGTCAAAACACTGAATACATTGTGTGTGATACATTTTCTGTTCCCGTGTGATTAGATAAAATGCCCTGTTGCCCTGATTATTCGAAAAAATGGCCTTGATTCACAGTTGGGTTTGTTGATCATAGAAAACTTACATAATAGCTAACGAAATGCTACGTTTCACCTTTCAAATGATAACTCAAGAGTGAGTAAAGAGAAAGAAAAGAGGAACAAACTGACGAGTTCATTGCATAATTACAAGGCTCCTAAGGTGAAATAAAAAGGCTCTGTGAATCAATCTTTAAAGCAATTAGTTCCCTTTATGAATTTAGGCAAAGCAATAAGAAGATGTAGTTTATCAAAATTGTGTAATGTATTCGCGCAATGCATTCCGAACAATCTGAGCACACACCGACTTGACGTATGAAAATAAGAAGGAGTTAAGAGGTGAAAAAATAGACTTAGGTCAAGTTAAAAGGACATATTGAAGGTCAAAATAACAATGAACATCAATAAACCAAATAACAGAGGTAATAGTACATCTACCCTAGCTGGTATCAAAACAAAGTTTACCAAGGAAAGCATAGTGTGATGACGAATTGTTGCTTTGAAGGCACAAAGGTAGTTTAAACTTCCTCGCTATGGTCACCCTTACAGGGCAGCTTGATGTACACGTCGTTCTTAGTGGCGAGTTGGTGAATGGTTTTTGGTGTTCTGACTACTTCATATCTCCTAATGAGCTCGTCTGGATAATTGTTATCAACCAGATGAACAGCTTTCTATCAGTAATTAACAAATGGTCTTCGTCTAATGGCCTTAAACTAAATACTTCCAAATGACAGACTGTCAATTTCAGTTTCCGATGTAAAAGAAAGTTAAATAAAGCTGTTGGTTCCTATGACCCTTGCAAAATTGATGACACTGATATAGAAATCAAGTCTGAAGTTAAGTATCTCGGACAAATTTTTCCACTGACCTATCCTGGTGTTCACATGTCTTAGCGATTTCTAAAAGAATATTTCGTCTGACTTTTTACATTAAGAAGTTAAGGGACTCAGACATAACTTAACCACTCCTCTTACAGTTTGTCAACTCTTTCATCTTACCTATTCTTCTTTACTGTTCACCCTTATTCTTTCCTGGATTGCTTAAAAAAGACTGTGTCATACTTCGTAGAACTCTGAATACTGTCAGTAGGACGAGTTGTATCCCATTGGGCCATATCGTTGACATTGTCACTGATAGGCACTTGATGTCATGCAACAAATTCGCTTAAGGAATTTTGTCAGACTGTGAGGACCCAACCTCAGGTAACACAAGAAATCTTTTCAGAAGAATTTATGCACGTACGTCCAGGTATAAAAATTCCATGATATCATATTTGGCACGTACTTAATGTGATGAAAATAGTGTTAGGCATGAACTAATTTAACCTTCTTTGCACTACTAAATAAACCATTTCCCCCACCCTTAAAGCATCAACCTTTATTGTTATTGTATTTTTTATATTTATAATCCTCTCAATTTTTTGTTTTTTTTTTTTCATAAGTGTCGACATAATTTAAGCTGCATTATAACTGTTAATTTTGTATTTCCCCTCACGATACTATATCAACAGAACAATTAGATTAAACACTCTATAACATGCTAAAATTTTCAAACTGAATCGACAATACTTTTTGAAACAAACTCACTGTTTTTGTTATTATTACATTTAATATTCTCAATTCGCGCTTCGAATACTTTTGACTTTATATCGTAAATGTGGATAAATTCCTCCGGTTAATTTTGTTTTAATTTTTAATTTTATTTATATTTTGAGTAAATCAGACGCCATATTGTGACAAATGCTGAGAATTCCATTCTGTATTATAAGTACTATTTTTGAAATTAAACAGATTATTATTAAAATTATTCTGATCACAATTTGTGATTTGTCACTTTTATCCCAATTTATCTTAACTTCTAGAGCCTCATTTTTCATAGTCTCATTATTTTTAATTAACATTTTAATAGATTGAAATTATTTCAAGGTTATTAGTTTCACTTCATTACATTTTTACCCATTTAGAAACTAACCACGCCAGATGTCTACTTTTAAGTTTGTTTCCATAGACAGTAGTCAGGTCATTTCAAGGTAGAGCTTGATCAAGTAATAGCGGAAGGGGAATTCAACGAATTGTTTCAACTTGTCATACTAAACATATGGTCTGTCGATGGCAAAGAATGTTTTTCCTTGCCTAGACGTCGAGGAAGCGGCAAAGACAGGACTCCAGGTGAACATAGACAAGACGGAGGTTATGAAAATAACCAACCAACCAACAACAACAGCAACAGCAGCAACATCCACCGCCAATCACCATCAACGGGAAGGGATTTGAAAGAGGTTACTTCATTCACTTATCTAGGGAGCATTGTCTCAACTACAGGCAGGTGGAGCGGACGAGGATGTCAAATCGAGAATCGGGAAGGCGAGAAACACATTCATCAACCTGAAACCAATCTGGAAATCTTCGTCACTCCTCAGCTTCAACAACAAAATTCGGATTTTCAATACAAACGTCAAGTCACTCAGTTCTTCTTTACGGATGGATCAGAAACTTGGCGGGCCAAAAAGAATATTTCCAACAGCCTGTTGCAGACCTATATCAACAGCTGTCTTCGCTGTATACTGAAGATCAGATGGCCGGAAATAATCGCCAACAAGAAACTATGGGAACAAACAAAACGAGAACCAATCAATCACCCAACAAATATGCAGGAGAAAGTGGAGATGGATTGGACACTCGCTGAGGAGGCCATAGCTGATTGACATCGCGCGTCAGGCCAACGCTCGAGTGGAACCCGAAAAGGAAGCGGCGAGTGGGACGTCAGTGCATGGGTGACATGGAGGAGATCGTGTGAAGAGGAAGTGAAACAGTATGGACTAACATGGATGCAGGTGAAAAGTACATCAGAAGACCGAAGGAAGTGGAGAGGTGCAGTTGAAGCCCTACGTTCCACTAGCAACCCAAGGGAACAATAATAATAATAGACGTCTGACTTAGTGAGTTGTACACAGTCTTGGAA